TATTTAATGTAGATTTTCCCATAATTAAATTGTGTCTTGTTGCGTGTCACACAATTTCTTCATTTTAGGAGTTACCGAAGTAACGCGGCGTAGAAGTTATTTATTGTGTTACTTTTCGAGAGCTAACCTTCAAAAAAAGCAACATGAAATCCTTAGCTTCATGCGCAAATGCAAGACTCTCAAAACAGTATATAGATCTGAAGTATGAAATGCTTGAATTTTTAATGAATGGAACCGCTAGCGGCTGAGTGAATATGACTGGTGAAAGCGAGTATCTCTACTTGGTCCCGGACTGATTAACGAGGAATTTTTCGTGTTTTAAATACAACATCAATACGAGCAATTTTCTCCTTCAGTGTCCTTTACGAAGGCATCCTCCTGTCTGACACATAACCCTAGCGCGTTTTGTCATAGTCTAGTAAATACAATCTAATGAATGATTTTTTGTTTTTGTTCTGGCTCAGTTCAGAGCTGCGGTCATGTAATTCCTAACCATCGTAATGTAATTTCATTATCGCGCTATTTTCGTATTTCCTAGAAACTTTATTATAACGATGAATTCGGCTTTTCTTACTTTAACCCATATTTTTAGGCTATTGATATTTTGTAGAATAAGTGAGTAAAAAACGAACTTGATCATTATTAGATTAATTATATTTAATGAAAAGATTCAATAGACAAATAACAACTAACTTATCTCTGAGCGGTAAAGTTTCGTACTATTCTGGCTAAAATGGTTGTGGATTAATCATTGGATGTTTTTAGTATCATGCTGTAATTCCTCAAAGAAATCAAAATATTGCAAAATTTTTTCCTTGGATAATATAAAGTAATACTCTTTAAAAGAACCATTAAAATTATCCTTTCTTCTGTTTCTTTTCTGATTAATTTCGTGATTAAATTTTTGAACGCGAGGAATGTTAAACCGGCCGAAATTTATCGTCAAGTGACAGAAGTTTACGGTGAATACGCGATAAGTGATGGAATGGTGAGAAAGTGGGTAAGAATGTTTAATGCAGGTCGAACAAATGTCCACGCCGAGGCTCGGAGTGGTCGGCCTTCTGTTGTCACCGATGATTTGGTAAGGAAAGTTGATGAAGCAATTCATGAGAACAGACGCTTCACAATGACATGAGTGAGAAGCAGGCAGTTGGAAACCCTTAGCTGTCTTTTCCAAAAAGTTAACTGATGTTTAAAAAGGATATAGTACTTACGAAAGAAAACTCTTAGGAATATACCTTTCGATCATTCAAGCATATGCTAGAAGGATAACAATTTATACTAACCATAAAGCTTTGATGTTTGCTTTTCGTAAAATAAAAAAATAAATAAATAAATAAAAAACATAAAAACAAAATCTGAAATGTTTCAGATTTTAAATTACGTCCAAAGGGGCGTTTTTTAACATTTTGTGTGTTACCTTTCTTTATTAAATATCATGTTCCTCGCACTTAAACCATAAGATCCAGTGCAACAGCAATATCGCAAAATAGTTAAAACGAGCATATCTTTAGAATTTCCGATACAGAGACTCACGCGCTGGAGATAATAATGTTTTTTCTGCACAACGTTGCCATTGCTCGCTTTGAAATCCTTGAGTTTGTTAATCAAAAATTCGTCAAAGTTTTAAAAAATAGGAAATCGATCATAAAACAAATTTCAAATTTCAAATTTGGTCTTCCACATGCTCATATTCGTTGGAGGATTACGTTATTCAAAATTCGATGACTCTATGTACCGTTGTTTTATCACAATACGAGAAATATACATACATTTATGCAGATTTTTCATTATTTAATTTCTTCAAATATAATGCAGGACTGTAACATTTTGTGGCAACAGTTTGAAAAGTGAACCGACATTTATGAGTCCGACGCAAAATGCCAAAACGAAACTAATAGTCCTTCGGGATTCAAATCCCTTTGGACTAATAAAAAAGAGAGAGAGAGAGAACGCGTCATCTAGACAGCTCCGTCATTTGCAATATATCTCAGAGCTTTCAGCAGATATACGTCACACTGGCGATAAAGAGAATATTGTTGCAGATTCGTTATCCAGTAGAGAATCTATCTCTGACATAGATTATGATAAAATTGCAGATGCACAAATCCATAACAAAGATCTTAACGAGCTACGCTCTAAACCATCTTTACATTTTAAGCCAAATCCTTTGGACTCTCGTAAATTACTTTAGTGTAATATTTCACCAACAAAAATTCGTCCATTTATACCTCAAGATTTTCGGAAGCACATATTTCAAAACTTTCAGAGCTTAGCTCACCGTGGTATGAAGCCTATAGTTAAACAAATAGGTTCCAGATTTATTTGTCTTAACATTTAAAAGGATATCACCCAGTGGTCAAAATCTTGCATCCATTGCCAAAAGAACAAAATTTCCAGACATACGCGTGCACAAATTGCCACTTTTAAAGAAGCAGATGATAGAGTCAGTAAAATTCATATTGATATCCCAGGCCCATTTCGTACTTATAAAGCGAAAACGTACTTCCTTACCCATATGGATCGATTCACATGTTGGATATAACTTATTTATTTAACAAATGTGACAGCTAAAACATTAGTTCGAAAATATTGTAGTGAAAATTGCTCCTTTTGCCCGAGCTCCTCATAACTTAGAGGCGAAGACGCAGGACTCGAAGCCCGAAGGTTCTGGGTTCAAAACGCATCAACGGCATGATACCTGATAATTGATTTTTATGTAAATTTCCTTCTTGTTAATGTTATCTTATTTATGTAAATTTCTTTCTTATTCTTCCAGAACATTTCAAGTATGGAATGTTCACCAGCTGTATATACGAGTAAGTAGTTCTTCATTGAATTCGAGTTAATAAAAAAGTCTTGAGTTTAGACTTGAGTACTTGCTTGTTCATTTTTACGATCCCTTGCGACAATATTTTATCACTGGATTTCGCGCTTTGGAATGCCATGCCGTGTAATCACTGATCAAGGTAGTCAGTTTCGATCCGAACTGTTTAAAACCATTGGTATTATTTGTGGATTTAAAGTATGCACAACAACGGCATATCATCCCCAATTTATTGGGAAAATTGAAAACAACCATCGATTTTTAAAGTCTGCAATCAGAGCACACAATTCTATTAAATGAACTCAAACCTTATCAACAGTTTTATTAGTACTAAGTTCGGCTTTGCGTGGTGATATAAAGTATACCATTGCACGAATGGTTTACGGAAAATCAATCAGGTTACCTGAAAATTTTTTTGACAAACTAAAAGATAATTTGGATACCGAGACGATTGCTAAGAACTGCAGAAACAAATGGAACTGTTAAAACCACTAAAATCTGAGCGATATACTTCTCGAAACATTTTTGTCCATAAGCACTTGCATAATTGTACGCATGTCTTCATACGCGTTGATAGAATTCGAAAACCATCAGAACCTCCTTATGATGGACCCTTTCCAATTGTGAAGAGATATGAAAAGTATTTTACTGTGACCATTAATGGTAGAAATGTCAATATATCTCTAGCTAGATTAAAACCACTCTATTTGCTGTTAACTGAGGTGAAATCTCCGCATCCTAAGCAGTCCGATAGAGCACAAACGTTGCCCAGTGAAAATCTGACAGCACATCAACAGCCTGAAAAGCAACAATCAGACTTGATGGATATAGAGGTTCATAAAAATACTACACGCTTTGGTAGACATGTGAAGTTTCCAGGGCGTTTCACAGATTAATTACATACTATTCATTATTGTTATTTCATATAAATTTCATATACTTTTTATATTTATATACATATATTTTCTTTTCACATTTATATACATTGCATGTACACTGAAATTTTTGTTATTATTATTGAAGGTTGTCGAGTGTATCGTAGCTATGTTGTTACGGGGGAAAGAGGGATGTAGCAGCTCCCTTATATATAATATTACCTTTGTTGTTGCAAAGTTTAGTTTCTCTAGAGTAGCAACTAGCAGAAATGTAAACAAAAACAAGTTCGCTTTAATGTTGTAACTGTAACGTCTTCTTTTATTATTGCGAATTAAATTATGCTTAATCCATTCTGGAATTATCATTTAAGTTATTAAGTCATCTCATGCAATGGCACAGCAGGGCGTCCACAACACACTAACACGGTACGAAAAATTTTGTTAATCTCACACTGAGCTACAGAAAGGAATGTCGCGGACCACATGTGATCCGAGGGCAAGCACTTGAGTACTACCACTTTATGAGATTGGAACTTATAATACACTCAAATGTTTAAAAATAAAAAAAAATTAATTAATTTCCTTCTTTTCTTAACACGTTTTATTGGTCTGAAATATTTCTTCTACCAGTAGATGAGCAGGGCCTCGTCGGTTTTCCCTTGAATACATACTTAAGCTTCGAAAGTCTAATTTATGGTAGATTGTATAGCTTCTATAATCAGAATGAAAATATTTTTATTACAACGGAGAGATAAGAGGAAGTGAAAAATAACGTGCTATAAATAACTCGTTTAGCATTTCAGATACACATATTTATGTAAAATATACGTATATCTACAAAAAAGAAAAGGAAAAGAAGAAACGAAAGGAAACTGGAATTTTGAAGCTCTCCCTAAAAGGCCGTAAATTTCTTGTTTCGCAAAGTATCGAAAAAAATGCTTGTTTATAAAGGCATCTGAAGTTTAATTGTTGCGAAGAATGCAAGAAAGACGGCTTAACATTACGTAATTTTTCTACGGATAAATTACTTATAACTGTGCACAGTTATTATTATTAACTTTGGAATTGCCAGCAAACGTCCTGGACGATTAGGTCAATAAAATCATCATTCATATATAGGTGACGGGGACATTGCAGTAAATTGCCTGTCTGCCATCAGTAGATTTTGTTCAGCATGCTAGCTTGTATGCATTTTATACACCTAATTTCGTGTTAATGCAATAGCAAGTTTTGCAACATGCTTAATTTTTCACAATTAAAAACATAAGACATTTTGGATTCATAAATAAATTACTTACCACATAATATCCTTATACAGTGCTTTAGATATCATTATGTATGGCTCTATATTATCTTCGTACTGATTTAGGTTTCCTCCAAGGCAGAAATGCTGGAAAATGCGAAAAAGAAATTCTTTTCTTTCATCTTCGGAATACAGCGAATAATTTTCAGAACCTTCTAGAAGAAGCATAGTTCTCAGCTCATCCGCTATGACTATGTCATCGACGTAATCTTCGAAGCATTTACGAATAGTTCCATCTGAGATAACGATTCCATTATCGTAAATTCTATCGAAGAGTTCCATGCTCAGAATATTGCAGGGTACTGGTTCAATTTCAATTGCCAAATCCTTTCCATCTGAGTCCAGAAATTCCTTGCAGCCGATGGACATCAAAACATCACTACTCCGAAATAAATTCTGAAATGCATACAAATTGTTTAAAACCTTTATAAATTGTGCAATATAATTTTTGATGTCCTTTCCCTAATAAAGATTAATACTTAAAAAAAACGCCCTCACTATGCAGGTTGCTTTTTTAACGAATTCACCTTTTTAAATCACATTCTCAGTTATGTGTCGGGAAGATAATGCCAAGAGCTTTTTTTTTATGTCGATGAAAGAGCCTACTATTCCTAGCCAAAAGTAGCATATAGAATACCTTCTTCCACTTAGAAAGAATGGCATATGTTGTGATTTGTATATACATTTTATTTCATTATTAAACACACAAGTGTTCTAAACATAAATATACCATTTTATTTATTTATTTATTTATTTTGTTGCCATATTCCAAAGTTCAGCGATACCCCACGCGTAGGAAAATCATAACTGACATCACGAGTAGCCATTGTCTGTCGAGAGGCTGGGACATCATCTCCATCCTGCTCAACCTCAAGAGGCGTGACCAGCTAGCTGCACTGGTCGAGTCATTTCTTTGCGATCAACACACAGTACGCATGATCTGCATTTTCAATCGCAGCCTTCGATTACCTTTTCAATAAGGCACTTTTCCAAATATGCCGTGACCTTGCGTCTTCCTGCAAAAGTACAGGATTTTCTTTTCTAATGGGAACTAATTTGTGGATAACTGCTTAGTTCTAGATAATATTACTCAGAACTTCTCTTCCAAAATGTATTCGATAAAGCTTGCTGCATCCAATAATTTCATTAAGTTTCCCATTTTCGGATTCTAGTTTCAATGGTAACATGTTCAGTTTCTCACCAGTTTCAAAATGACCTGAAGCCAAGGCTTCTTCGGGGTCATCATTTCCTGGCTAATGTACTAATGGTCTGCTGTCCAGGGCGGCTTTTGCTCCTACTAATGTAGTAGAAAGTGCTTCCTCATCCACCAAAGAAAACGACAATTTTTGAAACGAGTTAAGTAATTAGGTAAGCTTGCAGAATATTTTGAAGCTACAAGTAAGACATAAAAAAAATGTTGATATTTCTATGTAAAGAAGAATGAATCGTCTTGGAAATCAGCTTTCTAATAAAAGCTTTGTTCTAAGATCTTATTAAAAAATTGATTTGGGGGATATTTCTCTTTGTTGCGAAAGATACACGAAGTTTGTTTCGCTTTAATAATAAAATAACTTCGCTGTCAGCCAAGGCCTACTCTAATCTACATTAATTCGATTCTGATAGATTTACCTATCTGACGGAATTATTAATTTTTAAATAAATCGCCTTATAACGCAAACCAGTAATTTTAATAAAAGTATTATTTTTTAATTAACAAATTCTAAGTGGTTAAATCAGCAGCATAAATTTACATTTCTCTTTCTTCTATTATTGCATCATAGGACATAGCTTATCACGACAATGAAAGGAATTACCGCATTCTTCCCTTTAAATGCATCCTTCATTTTAAATGCATAAAGTTCATATAAACGCATTCATCGTTATTGTCGTATAAATGGTTAGCACATCCAACTAGCAACTGCCCTCCCCGGCATTCAAACACGATCTTCAATTTTGCCAGATATGGATGTGTTAACTACAGTTGTAGTAATTCTTATAGCAGAATTTTAATTATTTTCAATTTTCACGCTTGATTTCATACATAAATCTTGAATGCCATTTTCTTATTATATGTAATTGGGACTGACTTGATTGTTGCATCCAGTCCTTCAATTTTAACGCATTCTCAATAAGATACGGATTCCCGGCGAACAGGCAATTTGGAATACACAATAAAAGATCTGTTATCCGAATCCCAGGAAGACTGCAATAGATTTTGCGCACTTCTTCACTAATAAGTCTAATATTCCTTACAGAGGCATAAATAATGGTGGACAAAAACTTTCAACTCCACGGGATGCAATACCGCGTTACCAGTTGACCGGTAAATTTTGAAATTTATGCTTTACCAACTAGTAAATCACAGTTTTGAGCAATGATGTTGTACGTTTACTATTATTTAAATTAACCATTATTTATGATTTGGATCTTTACTATAACTTCTCCTTTCCGTTTCCTTATGAGAATGTAAATTATTTGGCTAGTATTTAAATTGAGCTTTTGGGATTGTAAGATAGAGCGTGTTCCTGCCTTTCGCGAGCAAGTTACATTTAATTCCAGCCAGCCCTGATAAGTTGTAATTATTCGGTTTTGCTTTATATCGCTGCCAAAATTTGAATTTGATGTACCGGTAGAGTTACTGAGTTAGCTTAGATTATAAAATTTAATTGTGTAGTTTTTGAATATTATCCTACGTTTCAAACTTAAACTGATTGTTTCTATTTAGTCACATTACCCCGAGCTGTGGTTGATTTTGTTAGCACAAGAACGTGCATGTATGTTTTAAGTTCTGTTTAAATAAAATGCTTTATTTAAACCTTTATCTGACTCTGTAGTTACTTTCAGACATAGTGATAATTATTTTCTCAGCTATTAGGGGTTTTGGATTAGTTAACTTTTAACAGATCAAGTAGAAGCTCATAAATTTTAGAATTCTTCAAACATCAAAGAAGATGATCTACTTATTTTAATGATCTGCAATATCTTTTTAATTCTGATATCAAAAACTACAGTTTACAGAATTTTATAAAAAATCCAATAAAACTGCAATTACAGAAGAAATTATGGAAATAACTGAAAGCACATTTAAAGGCAAATAAATGCTGCTTTATTCTGAAAAGTAATATGCAGTAATGATTCCAAAGTACTCTTGCGTTTTGGTATAAAGACCAATTTACGCGTATATAAATAATTTGCTAACATATCACAAATTGTTTTAAATTACATATATATATACGTATAAATGCGTGTGTGTTTAGGTATACACGTATATATGTATATGCTATATCATCATTTAATTTGTGCTCCGAATATAACTTTTGCAGCGCCTGAGAATTTTGGAATAAAAAAGGTCTATTTTTATATTATTTACTCTCATATAATTTTTGAAAAGTTTAAAAAAAAATCTGATAAATTATCTGTAGATGGGTTTAAAGTGTGAATTTTACCACATTACATTAAATAAAATAATCTTTAAATACGTCCATAGACGCTCTGTCAATGCGATTATATCAAGTTAAATGCACCTAACTTTAGCCGAAAACTCCTTCTTATAAAGTAATAAGTGAATAAAAATTTCCCATTTCATTCAGCACTTAACAGATTTTGTCTTATTAGATATGCACACGTTCCTAAGTTAATTATGTACACGCTAATTTTTTTCTGCGTGTCTCGTGTCTTCAGTCTTCTTACAGGATTTAGAAAAGAAGGGTTAGTTCATAGAGCTTTTCCCTATGAAACAGGAAGTAAGTGATGACGTAATCACGTTGACTGCAAAGCGCAATTCGCAGCAAAGAAATAAACGTTTTAAATTTGAAAAAAAAAAAAAAAAAAAGCCTTAAAAAACTTTGCTTGAAAAAATAATTTAGAAGATGTTATTACTGCAAAGATTTATAACGTTTAAAAAGTCAGTAATACTTATTTATTAGTTTTAAAAATCACTGATAAAATACGTTACCTTTTCTGAAAAGTTGCACATTTTACTCCCTGTGCATTTATTATTAAATCATGAAAAACAAAACTATGACATTCATTATCTTTTCTTTATCTGTATACTAAGTGGGAGAATTCAATTACTCTCTCTGAGATAATTATAACAGCAGTTTTTTAAAGTTAGGCGGGGAAAAAAAGAACATTTGAGTTTGTCGTAGTTTGAATATGTATATAAATTCTTTTTTCTGCTGCTAAAGAAGAAGAATTTATGTTTGAATGCCTTTGAAATCCATTGTTTTATTCAAAATTTATTCTAATCTAAGATTGCTTTTTTGACCTAATTATAAATTTTACATTGGCGTGTTTCTCTTCCGATTTGATATAATTACAGATACTTAAAAATAATTCTTAAACCAAAGTTTCTTAAACTTTTTTTCAGTCGCGACCCCTTTTTATCACTGAGAATTTTACCCTTAGGACTCCGTAATATTTTTAAAAATTTTGTGGGACCCCATAAGTATTGCGCAAATTCGACACACGCGTGAATGAAACTGTCAATTTTTTCACTTGTACTCTAATATACTATTGAAGTTTTAAGTCATTAACTTTAATTTCTAATTTTAAGACATAGAACAGTGTGAAAATTTTAAATAAGTAACAGACGAAATGACAGCGTCACGTGCAAAGCAAGGAAAATGAACGTTTATATTATAAAAAAAATGCGTCGAAACATTTTCGTTTTTTTCTTTGCCTGTATTGTCTTATCTTTTATCTATTTTCAGATAAATTGTGTAAAAATATTTGGTAATTGTGAAATTATTCTAATAAGTTAAAGAAATGCCAAAACTGCTAAAATTTTTGGCTACCCCCTGCTGCAGGTCCCACTACCCATGGTTTAAGAATCCCTGGTCTAACCAATACTCACATTTATATGTACACATTATATTTAAATAAATACAAGATCGTTGACTTAAGTTTGCCAAAAGAGCTTTGCTCCCAGTATCTAAAAAGAATTACTTAATCTTTCAAAAGAGGGCTAAAGGAGGAAGATCTTTTTTATGCGAAATTATTTTGACGTTTTATAGGATTATAAATTACCTTAAAATACTGATCTAGCTTTGTTTTTCACAAACTATCAATACATTCTCTTTTATTTTTATAGTTAGGGCATTCAGCAATATTTACATCGCCATCTGTGAGTTCTATTTTTAAATCCTTCGTATTTGATTTATTAACCTCATCATCATTTCCGTAATCAGCCTCAAAATGAATTTTCTTCAAATTTAATTCGTATAGTCTAGCACTCTGCATTATTTTGCTTTTCTTGGCCCAGTATTGGATTTTAACAGTTTCTTTTGCGCAAGTAAGCGAGTCTTCATATCATCTTCCCAATCACTAATTAGAAAATGTTCACTGAAAATTTTTGCGCTCTTCACGTTAACAGAATCCTGTCTTCGACACATATATCCATTTTTTTCTCCAAAGACAAATTGCCTTTTTGAAATTGTTGCGAAATGTACAGGCGCGGTGAGATGGCTTCCCCGCAAAGCAGTTTTAGGGTTGCCCCATTTGGCGAGAAATAGCCCATTTGGCGATATTTGGCGACAAAATTGGCAACATACCATAGACGGATGGAGAACCTTCTGGAACGAATTCTTACCGGTTCAGCCCAGAATGTTCTTGAACACAAGCCGAAAGCTATATAAACCCTACTGGTCCACAGTCAGTTAGTATCGGGAGAAAGCCTCGTCGAGAAGGCGGGTGTGCGTGCTTCGTCTGCAGTGCGAGATAGTCAGTATCGAGTTGATCTTTCGTCTAGTCGATCGAGTTGACAGCCGGGCAGCGAGTGCCGAGTGGGTCGTCGAGTTCACCGAAGGAGTCTCTTAGTGTATCGTCGAGAGAACGTGTTGAGCTCTGGGAACGACTGAACCGAAGAGTCAGGAGCTGTGCTCTGTGTGGCGTCGGGTGCATCGCGAGTTGTAGCGTGGAGAGTCTCGAGAGTACATGGAGTTCCGAGAACGACCAAGCAGAGTCGCGAGCTGTACTCTAGTGCTTTGCCGTGAAGCTGTTTCCACCGTGATAGCCTGATAACCTGAAGGCTGTGTCGCTGATCGTGTCAGCGTGTTTATGGTAGTTCATCGACGGCTGTAAAACGTGTTTTGGAGCTGTGCTGACAATACTGGTAAAGAAAGTGTGTTTCGATACTTCATCAAGTGTCGTCGTTATTCACTCGAAATCTACGAACCCCGTACGAACGTGAAGGATTTTCTTCCTTCACGTAACAATATGAATACGTATTGTTAATACGTATCGTTGTTCCTAACGTAACAATATGAATACAATATCATTATCTTTCTTCTTTCTATGATTATTTTATGGCACTTTGCTACAGTTTTATGGCACTCTGCTGCAACGCAAGAATACATATTGCATAAACGATACTTTACAACAGTGGTCTCAAATTTACACTGCACACGGGCCAATGCATAATTTCACAGTAGCTGACGAACAGCAATTAAAAAACAAAAGCCTTTTTTTTAAAAAAAAAAATTGTTAATTAATATTTGTAAAAACTTAGGAATAAAAATAATGCAAAGGAAAATATAAAATTTATACTCGTAGACTGCTGAAATCTAAAAGATGGTATCTGCAAGAAATTTCTATTGGTCACAATTTGGAATTCAAACAGACAGCTAAATATTAAAATTTTCAGACTGGCATTTATTGAACTAATTATATTATATTAAACTACTAAGTAAGTTACTTTTAATTTAAAATAAAAAGAAATATACGGGAGGGACAAAACTTGAGAATAAATAATGGCAATCTGTTGTTCTCTTATTAGATTTTTCTATGTCACAAAATAGAAAAAATAATACTTGTTTGTAAATTATTGTAAATGTATTTGATTTTTACTACACCTTTCAGCTAAACCACTTCAAGACATTTCGATTTTTATGAAGTTTGTAATCTTGGAGGGAAATTACTGGAAAGTATCATCACAAATTGTAGATACTCATCAGCAGTCTGGTTCTTTTCGTAGACTTATTAATTTTCAACTAAGAGGGGGGACACTGATCTTATTCAAATGTACTCAAAAACAAAGCGAGTATTCTTATGCAATATTTATTTCTAGATTTTTCGGAGAGTTACATTCGTTTTTGGTAATGAATATAACGTAAAACTGGGCTCCAAAACATTAAAAATTTTTCTTCAAATTCTTGTCATAATAACGTTAATTACTTTGCGCAAAATGTATTCGCAGGCAACATAAAAATTATTTCGAGGCCCGCATGCGGCCCGTGAGCCATCAATTTGATTTTGGCACTGCTTTAATAGAAATTAATATATGTGATTAAAATTAATTTGGAATGCCCACATTGCTAGTTTTAAACATGCGAAGTCAGCGCAGATGCAACATAGACTACTTCCTGTTACCCCCCTGTCAGACTACTTCCTGTTAACCCCCCTACAAGGACCGCGTCGGGAAGGAGTCACACAAAGGAATGACCTAAACCTTCTTTTTAACCTGGTCTGCATATATATATAGCGATGGTTTGCCAAACATAGCATATTAATTAATAGAACCTTTTTCTCTCGCGTGCCAGACAAGCTATAGTTTCTCCATTTTATCATACTTGAAATAAAACTTCTCAACAACACACACACAAAATTCATATTGTTGAGAACTATGGGACAGTTGATGTTTCTTTGAATAATGAGCCCATATAAGCAGGAATAAATGCCAATGTATTAAGAAAAAGGCGCAATAAATAGTACACTGTACACAGAAGAAAAATGGCTGGAAACGCGGATATTCAGCAGTTTCCTCTTAACTTACTAAATCAGTAGTAAAGTTCTCAGATCACTCTCAGGATAAAAAACCTAACTCGCAGCTCAGCTAACCGACAAATCTTACAGCCCATTCGCAACTGTTTCATAACTGAACTCCCCTGATATCTTGATGGCACTCCCACACGTATTTATACTCTGCAGCGAGGGCTCTGGAAACTTATGGAAGAATCGCTCGTAGGGTTTCGAAAATATGTTTTCACGAATATTGCAGAAAGTTGCCAAGTTGGTGAGAAATTGGCAGACGCTGCCAACGTGGCGATACAAATTATTGCCAAGAACCCTTATAAAATTGCTCATATCTCGAGTTCCAACTGAGCCACCAATACAATTCCAAACCATTGCACTCAGAACCAACAGGTTTACAATCTATGCAACAAATAAACACTGAAATGCAAGACTTGCGGCCACAGACCACATTAAACGCAAAGAAAACCACAAAAACATCATTACAAAAGCATTAACATCATTATGTAAAATATATAAAACATCATAAAATAAAATAAATAAATAAAACAATGTAAATTATTACAACACTATAAACAATCAAATACACAATAAAAAAGGATTAAAATATTAAAAAAATTTTACAACAATATGAATATGATCGTATCTAATAAGCGAATTCTAATTTAAGCAACAATTAGAAAGGTTAAAAGCGTTATTCTAAGTAATTTTCATTAAAAACAAGTCTTCTACATAAATTCAGTTAAATAAAAATAAAATACGTAGAAATATAAATAATATCTTTCCTTAATAATTCTTAAAATTAATGAAGTTATTAAACAAGCTTGACATTCTTGACATACTATTAAAAAAGCAGTAGATTTTATTTAAAGCAATTTTATTTTTGGTTTTCTTTCGGGTGTTAATTTACTGTTAGAACCGTGCTTATTGCTCATCATAATGTTGCCAAAAGTCGGCAAATCCCGTGTGTACACTAGTATGAAGCCCATTTTTTTTATAAATCTACATATTTTAATTTTAATTTCATGAATTTTTTCTAAAGAATTTTTTAATCATAATGCTGACTTTTGGCTCTTTCAGATTTAAGCAACAACATGTGAATTGTTGAGAAATTTCATTTAAAAAATGGCAATATGGGAAGAATACAGATTGTTCACTTCACCAAAGAAAGAACTCCTATTAATTAAAACTGAAATTTTGCAAGCAGTCGCTAAGTAAGTAAGAAATTGGACATTCGGGGTATGTTTGCGTATGGATAACTTGAAGATGAAGAAATCTGAGAAATCTTGACCATTGCCTTGGTCTTTAAATTGAGAAGTTTCCATTTATTTGCGTCGGTGTCTTTTTCTGAATTTTATGGAGCAGTATTATCTGCTTAAGTGAGAGTATTCTGATTTTCTGCTGATCTGAGAACGACTCAAATGGGGCAGCATGCTAAACACGGGAAATGTAAGAAATTACACGCTCACTGTTATTGCGTGAGTGGTTAGCTCATCCAACTAGCAGTTGAAAGATTCCTAATTTCAATCTGGAAAGGAAAATGCAGTACTGCCCTACAACGGAAAGATTAATACTCGCTGGAATATTAAATTCTGTATATTTTGAGAGCTAAAGATACAATCTATAAAAGCAAATTGCAGTTTATTAGTCGTAAATTTGTTCCTTACCTTTCTAGATGGTAAACTTCTGGTTCTGAAATCAAAATTGCGCTTTATCTATAAACAAAAACTTATTCTCTACATACCACTTATCGTAAAATAAATAATAAGCATAATATTAATTTTTTCAGCGCCATTTCTAATTTAAAATATTTAACATGTTTTAGATTTTAAGATCGTCAGCATCAAGCAAAAACCACGAATGTGTAAAATCACTGTTTCAAAAATAATGTCCATTTAAAAGCTTAATAACTACTTAATTTAGAAAAAATCTAGTGGGACTTCTACATAATAACTATTTTCTTTTCATCTCATAGAACACACATTCGTTTCATTTGTCCTACTATTAAGATATCGTAAATAATGTAGAAAGTGCTTGTATGTAAAAACACCAAAAAAATGCAGATTTGTGGAGTTATACCAACAGCATATGTATCAATTAATACCAAACTCTTGAATAAAGAAAAGAATCGCAAGCGAAAGCATACCAATTGAAGCTAGCGAAGACGAAAGAAAAGTAGCTCTAAGATAAGCTTAAAAAAATCACTGACTTTACAATCACAGTATCGACATTTTACACGTTTTATCATTCTGCAATTGTTAAATATTTATAGAATTGAGTTTCTAATTTTCGTCAATTTGTTTTATATGTACTTCAAGAAAGAATGGTACCTTAATTAAAAATTGTGGAGGATAAAACCTCAATAATTTTTTTAGGCTAATTTTTAAAATTTTGAAGATCGCAACCATCAGAATTTTTAAAATAAATATTCTTAAGATCAACAGACTTTCATCCTTATGTAAACGTATTATAATCTATAAATCTATAATGAAATAGAATTTTTTCAGCATAAGAGAGTCACCACAATCTAATTTACTGAATTACGTAAACGCAGAATAAGATTTATTTCCATCTTCTTACCTCTATTATCTGTTCTCTTTCTCCTTCTCTTACGTCACCATGAAAAGAGTAGCTTAAAAGTTTTAAATTTTTCTCCATATTCCTTAAAAATATATAAAAAGCATTATAATTTAAATAGTAAACTGGTTCCTTGCTAAACAAAAAAAGCCAAGCATTGTTATAAATTAAATATTTAATATTTTACCATTTTGTTAAATGTTCTTTAAAATCTCTTTCTTCAAATATTTTGTACTTTTTATCTACCTTGGTGAATTCAAATGTCTTATTATCTTTGAATATCGATCCATGTATATATAGTTTACGTCTCATCTTTCACCCAGCAAGTGTAACATTAGTAGAAATTCATCTAGGAACTGTTTGATTATGGTTGTTATAGCAACAGGAAGTAATCTTGTGGTTGCCAATTATCTTAGTTGAAAAATCTTCACTCGAACAGATGAAAAAGTTTCCCTTCTCCAATTTTTAGCTCTAAAGTGGCTGTTAGTCTCGAAATGGTATTTTGTATCGGTACACTATAAACGACGAATCACTATTCAAATTATTACTGCCAGATTTTATCGTCTTCTATTATTCTTAAAAAATTAAATAATGATGAATCCGCGTGTATGTTCCTTTCACTGTGAGAAAACGACAGTACGTACAGTCATCAAATTTTAAACAACGTATTCCTTCACCTAAACGTTATTATTAAAATAATGGTTATTTTATAACAAACAATAAATTTAAATGCGTATAAAAATGATAACTGTAATAGTCTATTTTCATTGCGCTAAAACGAAACTAATTTTGCTTGTGATAAATAATCGAAGCAACCATATTCGTAACATTTTATTTCGTATTACGGAGACAGAGGAAATAATCGATTGCCAAAAATTAAATGTGAATTACCGAAAAAAGGGGGAGTCATGAATTTAATGAATTTTATTTAATATCTCCCAACATTATTATTATTATTTTAACTTAAAATTTTTGTTTTTTGGCTTTAGTTCCTTTACTTCTTCAAGTAAATATTTTTTATAAAAATTAATTAATTTTTATAAAAAATTAATTATTAAAACAGAAGTACGATTGTCAACACAATCATTAGAAGCTAACTATCAAATAATCTTTATTAGTATATAAAATCAAAAATTTGCTTATCATATTGAATCAACCTTTTCTATTATAACATTCTAGTATCTGTTTGGAATTAATATTTATAGATGATATTATGATTAATAATGATAATGGTGTTTTAATAATGTGGTCATAAATAATAATAAGGCATAAAAATGGTGCTTTGATATACTCAGTGATTTCTTGAAATTTTCAATAATTTCTTTTAATAGATTATAGGACTATTAGGTTTTGCGGAACAAGAAATATAAAAAATTAGCAATGCCGTCACGGGGTTTTCAGCCATGAATCTTCCGATCTGGACTGGACATACTATCCACTTATACCACGAAAGTACGTATGGGGAAATACGTATGGAGAAATAAGGGTTCTTTCATCCTCTCTCATGTACACGCACACACATAAGTGAACCACAGAGTCAAGTGGTTCAAATGCAGGAGGTGATTAAATTAGTATTTACTCTTAGATTTAAGTTCGGTTGTCATTTCAAAAACAACCTCTCTTTTGGAATAGGAGACATGAAATGTCAACTCAGTCCGCGCCTGGACTCAAACACTGGGTATTCTACTACGCAGATGAGCGTGCTATGCTAAGCACTTATGCTTTGCACAAGGAAAATGAACCATTTCCCTTACAAAGTGAATCTATATCCTAAATTTCAAGTTTAAATGGCTCTAATGATGCATTAGATTCAATGTTAAGTAAATGATTTTATTTCGTATTCTAAAAAGAAATTCTGCTAGAGATCTTCTAATTATTGGTTAAATGGTTGAAATCATGGCATACTGGAATTTCGTGCAGAGTTGGCTCCCTTCTGGTCAAATGGTTGAAATCATGGCATACTGGAATTTCGTACGTAATTGGCTTCCTTCATAGGCATTTTCACGGCCTCCTCCGCATATTGCTTAACATTTTAAGCAGTTCCCAGCAGCAATTAAACCCAAAGCATGTTATTGGCATATTCATTATTGTAACTAGTCTTTTAATATTTATGGTATCATGACTTGCATTTCTCCTAATCTGCTTGGCGAACATGACGTGTCCTGACTAGACAGTGAGCTTGACTACAAACTATGTCCTATGGAGTGTCGAAGAGACGACAAGATGAGAAGGGTTTAATTACCCTTTATTTTCCACGATATAATATGCGTTCCCGCATTTCGGGATACAAAGACCAACCACTTGTGGTCTGAACGTAAAAATATGCGAACTATTAACTAACTAAAAATAAGAGTTAACTTTGAAAACTTTACACAAATAACTAACACTAAGACTGGCCTTTTAAATTACTGCGTATGTAGTACGCAAACTGCGGAAAACTTCAATACGTCTTTAGCTTTCAAGACGACTAAAACCTCTGGCCTTAACCCTTTCCGGCGTAGTGTGTTCGGTGTGAACCCACCAAAAATATTCCCTCTTTAGACACTGAAAATAATCGATAAGTATCACGAAAACTACACTAATGGTGTTACTTTTAATCTCTTTTATGAATAATAGATGGCAGGACGACACAAGAAAATCATTAACGTATATTCTGTTTATATTATTAGAGAGATATATTCTGTTTTTAAAGACACTGATTTTTCAAAGAAATGTTTCAGACTTTTTTTTAAATATAAAGAATATCAATGAAAAAAAGATTTATATAATTTTGTTGTTCGTATGCTAATCTGCCTATTCTGTATTACTTTTAATTTTTATCTTTGAAATATTGCGTATAGTGAAGCCTTCAGTGTATGGTGTGTTCGGACTGAAGCCACTGTACTGTAGCGCTTGTCACGTGGGAGTGAGTCACAGAATCTGGTCTCGTGCTTCAAACACGGGGGAGGCTGAGAGTGCAGATTTATTTATATTTGTTTTTATTCTTTTCTGTTCTTGGTTTTGAAGTCCCCGGTGCTTTGTTTTCACTTAGCTATTTGATTTTCAGCGAGAGCAGAATCTTTTTTTTCTCTTGTTTTCATCGTGCGTAGTTTGCTTAGTTTTAATTTCTGTAGATTTTTATTTGTATATATATTTAATAATAATTTTTTCTAGTTAATAATTAACTGTAAATATTATGGTATTTTAATTATTTTTCTCATAAATTTTAAAATTGCGTAAATGGCTCGGAGAGGCTTCAGCATTGCCGAAGCAATGAGAGTTTCTTTTATTTTCCCAGCTTTTTTTTGGGGGGGGGGGTTAGAGTAGCAGGCCTCCCCGAGGTGCACACTTGGTTATGCTAAATCTGCTACAGAGATCAGATTCTACTGTTTCTAAATCATAGACAAAGTATTTTACTGTGATACGTGCTTCACAGCAATGCACACTTATTGTAGCTCGTGCAGCTCAGTGTGTTCGCTTCGAACACACCCACAAAATGGAAACGGTTTGTGCAATCTTTGTAAAATTATACCTGCATACTCTTCTAGGCCTAAATAGACTGCCTACAAATTTTTTTGGTAAAATTCCAACTTTAAGGAGTAGCGTGCCGGAAAGGGTTAAAGGCGGACAGCAACTAACTGCAAGGTCGCGTGAAGTATAGTGGCCAAGATGACTCACTCTCTTCCCATCAAACTCTGCTCTTGGCAAAAAGCCACAACTTAAATACTTAAGCATTAGCAAGAACAATTTGCATAAACATATTCACGAATTTATTCTGGCCGGAAGTGGAAAATAAGAGATGATAGTAAAGTTTTAAAATAAAATAAACGTTAAACTTAAGATCCTTACAATGGCAATAATGCTTTCTAATATTAATTTTAATCTAACGTTTCAAAACATTAAGTCAAACGATGAACATATATCTAATATTTCAAAACATTAAAATAAAAGATAAATTTTTGCTTAACATTTAAAAAACTTAAGATAAATAGTATTTTCCTCTTTTCAGAGTCCCACTAGTGGCCAAGTAATTAAGACCCCTGAATCTAATCTAGTTTCTATTCCAGATGAATGGGCTGGATATATGGCTGATTTTTGTGGCTTTTCCCATGTGTAAATTGAATGCAAACTAGTTTCCCTTTAGAAAGTTCTCCACGCAGGCATCCCCCCTCTTAGGCACATAGCCGTCATAGCTTTGTCATTTTCAAATAATCTAACCTAACCTAACCTCTTTTGACAAAAATGGTTGTTCTAGTGAAATCGGACGAGCCCGGTGGAGTCAGCTCTGCAAGCTTAGAGTACTGTAGTAGATTCCTTAGCCCTAAAAGCTTTGAAGGAACTATAGCCTGCTTTTATAATATTTAATTGTACTTGACCTATTATATAAAAATGCTAAGTTACTAAGTTTTCTGAAGACATGTACAGCGAAGTTTAACCAAGTGCTCTTTAGTTTTATGAGAACACATTAATTAGGAAATCGACATTTTAATAAAGAAATTAATTCTTAGAATTCTTTTCGGTTTAATAATCAGACATTTACTTTTTTTTCGTATATTGTCGACGTATTCCATACCACCGGAATCATTAATAATGATCATATGTTATTTTCTGAGAATTTGTAGCATTCCGTTAAAGAAAAGCTAAATAAACACATGATTTCATTAAATCTGACATGTTTGGAATCCTGCTCGGAAGAGTGAAGTAGTTAAACCTCATCGCCGCGTCAATGGCTTTGGAAAAAAGTTTCTTGAACTTGGATAGTGGTTGTCAGGGAAAAGATTGTTCTGCGAAATTTTGTCGTGCGATGGTCAATAAATTTCACCTCACGGAGCCGCCGAAGCGTAAAGTTCCTCTTTTTGATACCAAAACATCCGAGTCTTGTTCTCTGATTTACTGAAACGTGGAAGCGTGCGGAGATCGATAGACTATTGTCTCTGTTCTGATTAAGGTCATGACCGCAAGAATAGGAAGTAAAATGAAAATTTAGCAAAACTTGTAAATATATAGTAGCAAAATTACTAAAAATAAATTCCTTCATTAATATTTTTGTTCTGCTGAATTTAAATTTAAATTAGAAACTATTTCAAGAGCTTTGTTCAGTAACTTAGTAACTGTAATGTACACCTCTTGTCAATATTGTCTTACATAGTTAACAAATGAATCCTTCTACAGATTAGGTATATATATATATAAATGCTTATGAAAAAAATAATCCAATTCGAAGGAAGTTTTAGCGATATGACAGTCAGTTAATAAATTTATAATATAATTAAATTTAAATGTAAGTGATTATCACAAAACACACGAAGATGATCAACATAAATTATTATTAGCATTATTTTCTTTGACGCACTAAACATCTTTTTAAGACTATAAT